ATGCATATTCAGTATCTACAATGGGATATAGTTTTACATACTATATTAAGATTGTGTTGTTCACAAATTCTTGTTCTTGAGGGTTTTTCTTAAAGATGTGCCTCAGAGTTTAGGACAAAAAAATGCCAAAGTTATAGATATTAATGCAACTTAAAAGGGCTTCACTTTAGCTGGCTCATGCACCAAATTCTTGAAATGTAGTTAATTTCCATCAGTTGCATGCATAGCAATCACTAAGCATCTTCTCACAGTTCATTTTCAGATTCATCTAACAACTATAAAAAGTTTAAAAATAATTTTGAAGTTAGTTTTTAGTCATACAGATTTATGTGGTCTAGACCAGCTGGATCTCACTAGTATTTGCCATCAGTGTTCAGAAGGCAACAACTGGGAGATATTTGGCAAAGATCCAGATTTATGTGCATTCTGCTCTGCCTTAACAATGAATAACAGCCATCATAATTTTCACAAGGACAGACACAAACAACAAATTAGATGGGTTATCAGCCACATGCTTCACCTTTAGTTCAAAGCAAGAAACACATGAAGTTTCCTTTCATTTCTTGCAGGGGGTATACAAATCAGAAATAATTATACCACCTGACTTTATATATGTTGTTTTAACAAATAATACTTGTTCTCATGGAAGACAGCCCATGTTGTTGTTTAGTCGTTTAGTCGTATCCAACTCTTCGTGACCCCATGGACCAGAGCACGCCAGGCACTCCTGTTTTCCACGGCCTCCCGCAGTTTGGTCAAACTCATGCTGGTAGCTTCGAGAACACTGTCCAACCATCTCATCCTCTGCCGCCCCCTTCTCCTTGTGTCCTCCATCTTTCCCAACATCAGGGTCTTTTCCAGGGAGTCTTCTCTTCTCATGAGGTGCCAAAGTATTGCAGCCTCAGCTTCAGGATCTGTCCTTCCAGTGAGCACTCAGGGCTGATTTCCTTCAGAATGGAGAGGTTTGATCTTCTTGCAGTCCATGAGACTCTCAAGAATCTCCTCCAGCACCATAATTCAAAAGCATCTATTCTTTGGTGATCAGCCTTCTTTATGGTCCAGCTCTCACTTCCATACATCAGACAGCCCATAAACAGCCTTAATTCCAGCCATTTCACAGGAAGGAGTTTTCAACACTGATCCTACACTTGTAAATATTCAGTTCTAACTTTTCAAACGACTTCTACCAACCACACATATGTTCTCTGTAGCTTCAACCTCTTCCTCATAAATCCCTGCCCACCACCATTGCTCCTACCTTTCTATCATCCATATACTTGACACATTCTTCTCTTTCTTTTCCTTCAAATCCCAGCTCATATCTGCCATATTTGGCCTGTGATTCAATATATAATAGGGATCTCATCAAACACCCTAGAATCTAGATGTACCATATAAGCAGAAAGGGCCCAAGCAAGGGATGGCATTGGCATCGAGGGCTGGGCTGGTGCACAGTGGGCTTTGTTCACCCTCCATGCCCTGCTCCCCCACCAGCATGCACACACGTGTGCCCCGGGCACCACAGACACACGGTCTGACGCTGGCACAGCAGGATATAAAACAGCCCAATTATTAAGCATAGAATATCACAGAACCTAGTCATACTCACCTCTGAATGGACATGTATAGGATTGCTTTGATAGGTTGCATTCCCATACCCACTTATCTGGAAGTAAATCTCAGTGAAATCCATGGGATTTACTGCTGAGTAGACATGTGCTGTAATTAACATTTCTATACTAGGCTTTTCTGCCCATAGAACACCCTGAATGGCTTTGCAATGTAACAAATATATAATAGGAAATATATATATCAAGAAGCAAAAACAAACAAACAAATCACCATGTCAATAATGGTACCATCACTAAACTTGAAAAACCAGCAACAGTAAGCCATAATGGAAGCCTGGAAACAAAACCAGAACAGAGTTAACCATGGACTAATTTTGCTGAAAATAGATTGAAAGCTAATGTTTGTTTAAATAAAACACTATATCTCATAGCCAATGCTATTTATCACCTGCAAATTCACAAAAGTTAACTGTTTTTTTTAAAGTGGGAATGTCTTTTATATAAAAAATAAAAGCAGTGCATGGTATAAACATCTCATATATATGAACACTTTGTTTCTAGCCTGGTTATCTTCAGGACTGCTAAGTCTTTCTAAATTAGTCCAAGCATTTTCTCTTTGTTTTACCTAATATTTGAAAATGGCAAAAAAGAAAAAAAATCCCCATGGGTCATTGAAAATTATCCTTTCATTCCAGCCGCCTGTTTCAAGTCAGTCAAAACATTCCAGACTTCAAAAGGGAGCTTTGCCTGCTTAGGCCATTTTGGTGTCTTTCTATGGTTGGCCTATGAGGGATTGGTTATTTGGATAAATTAATTTGTGGAGCCTGCTGGCCTTCTAGAAGACCTCAGTGTCTGACTGCAAATTAGTTCTACTGAACATGCAGAAATCCCTGGGCAGACTAAAAGAAATAAATGGTGATAAAATCTAATACTACGATGTTTGTAATGTGATTTTATTCTGCCGTAGACTCTGCAAGCAAAGCTAATGTTGAATTAAAAAATTAAATATTATATATATGAAAGCATAAAAATCAGATCAGTATCCTAGTCACAGCAGAGTAGGCAAAGTTCCAGCTTTAAAGTGAAGCTTCCAGCAGGAATCTTTTGCAAGAACAAACAAAAAATGTCCCAGTTTCCACAAAATCAACGAGGTATTTACATTACGGATGCACCCTGCTTAAGCCAGGAAGTCACACAGTTGAATTCTGCTTGAGTTCAGGGCTGTGAATAAACTGCTATGCAGTCATTTAATGCATAGTTGTACAAGTGCCTAAGGATAGTTTATCCTTAAGGAAGAGGAGAGATTTGTGAGCCAAAACTAACAAACATGGCTCCTCAAGCGGAACAATGGGCCAGAAACTCAGTAAAAAAGAAAATAAACTTTCCTGGCAGTTTGTTTTTTACTATTAAGAACTAAGCTACAACTTTATCAAGACTTTCCTGAAGAGGTAAAAGATTTCACATACATCCTCATGTTCTCAAGGCTGCTTGAAAGTTTATGGAGGACGGTGTAATCCCGTTTTACTGTGCTTAATCCACTTTCAAAACAGACACTTGTATATTTGCTACCTAAAGTGCAGTCACACCTGGAAGCAAAGATTTCCATCTAAAGGTATGCATTACATACCACATTCCCAATTTTATATTGTTCTCTTCACAGAAAGTGCCATATAATTTGGGCAACAGAGCTCGATACTTCTCCAAACAAAAATCCATATTGAATCACTTACTTTGCTTAATCTGAAGGAGCAAAAATTACATTTCAGTATCAGACCTTAAGGGTACTTCAGCAGAACTGCCAACAATACAAAGAAACACAATAGTCCATTTCATAGGACCAGGTGGCAGAGGAAGGAAGAATGGGCAGGCCTTACCCTCCAACTAATGCATGTACACTAGATGTGGTGTGATCCACTATGACGTCAGAATCACAGTACTGGACAGCCACCACCACTTCAGACTCAAACTTTCTCAGGCTACAAACTCAAACACACTTACTGGTGAGAAATTCCCACTGAGTACAGTGGTTGTTCTGGAAAAAGTGCACAGGATTGTGCTGTAAATGTTTTGACACTCCCTTCCCCCTCCCCCCTTTATGGGACGCGGGTGGCGCTGTGGGTTAAACCACAGAGCCTAGGACTTGCCGATCAGAAGGTCGGCGGTTCGAATCCCTGCGACGGGGTGAGCTCCCGTTGCTAGGTCCCTGCACCTGCCAACCTAGCAGTTCGAAAGCACATCAAAGTGCAAGTAGATAAATAGGTACCGCTCCGGCGGGAAGGTAAATGGCGTTTCCGTGCACTGCTCTGGTTCGCCAGAGGCGGCTTAGTCATGTTGGCCACATGACCTGGAAGCTGTACACTGGCTCCCTCGGCCAGTAAAGTGAGATGAGTGCCACAACCCCAGAGTCGGCCACGACTGGACCTAATGGTCAGGGGTCCCTTTACCTTTACCTCCCCCCTTTTAAAGACCAGGTTTATGCTGGTTTCACTCTGATTTTCTAAGTATTTTACATAATTCAAAAATAATAACAAACAAAAGGAGAGGTGACTGAGTCCAAATAATACATCACTTGTAGAATGTTCACTGTTATTGTTGCAGAGTAGCCTTTGTCTCACCATACTGAAGACAGACATGGCTGTAATCACTTAATATGAACAGGCATTTCTGAATACAACAGAAGCAAGTAAGCAAGTGAAAGATAAACTAAAACAGATAACTCAGGAAGAACTCTTAGATTTCTGTTCCTAGGTATATTAACTATTTAGTAGCTGGTTTTCCCACAGTAAAGTGGGTATTAATTAAAGGCTATTGCTTATTCCAGCAATAGTATCCAAGGGCTCTTTATCCTAGACAGCCTTTCCCAAATAATATTTGAGGTTGCAGTGGTCTAAGAAACAGGGATCACTATTCCCATGGGAGATTTTTTTCTTAAAAAGACCAGTTTTAAGAGCTAAATCTGCAACTAAAGGCTCCCTCTATACTCTGTTGCACAGTATAGCTTTTGATTTAGATTGACAAGACTGTAGAGCATTTTGTGGAGGGAAATTAGATCTTTTTATAAAATAATTCCTATAAATTTTGTCTTTGTGGATTTTTGTACAAATTCAGTCCAGTATTTCATATTTGGCAATTAATTCCTTCCCCTCCCTTCATTTTGCATGATATTGTGATTATTGCATAAAGAATTATTTAGTCTACAGACAATATGCAGTATTCAAGAACAAATTATTGATTTTTCTTTCAGTTATCTTTTCTTAAATTCCACCAAATGTAGAAAATTCTACTTTCTGATGTTTACACCCAAAGCACTCTGTTTTGTGGTTTCTTGTTTTTCCAATTTGATCCTTTTAATCTGCCTTAAGAGTACCATTCCATGTATCCGATGAAGAGATCTCTGGCCCATGAAAGCTTATGAATAAATTTGTTTACCTTTAAGGTGTCAGAAGATTTTCTTATATTGCTGCAATAAAACAACACCTCTGCTCTTCAAAAGTTTGTCCCTTGTTCAGCACAGGGCCTAACACTGCTTCAAATACACCTAAAACAAAGAACACAAAAGTCTCAGAAAAGCTTATTAACAAAACAAATTAGACTGTTTTAAGGTTAAAATATTGGCTGACTCATTGGCAGTAGCACCGTGATTTTTCCTGTGACATTTACACTAAGCATAAAGCAATAACTTTAAAATTAAATACATTTGCAGTTCAGCTTTGATGTAGCCTTTAACCTCTCATGGTATAATAAATCCATAGCTCCAGATCATTAAGAGCGGGACAGTGCTTTAAGGAGTTTCCAAGCACTCAGTTATGACAAAAATAATTACCGCTTTAATGGCAATAATTCTTTCCTCAGGGGTGACATGCTGTTTACTTACAGTCTATCCATTTATCCCCGGAGGGTCTTCCATTGAAGATATCTTCTTCCAAATTATATGTTGGCTGTAAAGCTACAGTGCGCTTCAAACTAGCACCTGTAGAAGAGAGTAGTGCGTAGCTGTATTCATTTGCTGGCATGAAATTAAGAGCAGATTGTCGTATGTGCAGCTTTCCGTGGAACAACATGTACACACACGTCAGGAGCATTCATCTTCAATGAATTAGACTGATCTTTAAAATAAATATTCTCGGTGGGTTGGCCATGACAACCAGCATGAGCCCCAACACAGGAAATTATAGCTCTCTTGTTAGTTAGCAGCTGAAGTGAAGAGAGGCAGCCATGAATGGTTTTTGGTAGCCAATATTTCTGTGCCACTGGGACAAGAGATGAGGGGCTTTTCTTATTTGGTGCCACGCTTGTTCTTACATTTGCTGCCCATCAGCATCAGTGATCATGCCATGTACAAAATGCAACAAAAATGGACCATAAATGTAGATTGAACTCAGGTTTTAAACATAGGAAAAATCACACCTTTGAGAGCATAGCTTCAAGCAAATTGTTGTACTAATTTGCTAAAGGTTCATATTAGGTCGCACTTTTACACATTCAGAAGCAGCCATCTTTGTTAGCCATCATGCAACAGAACGTGGTGTTTGCTGCTACTAGATATTATTTCAACTAGTGAGGCAATTATCAAAATGTACTTTTTGTAAGGATTTCAATAAAGAACAGTGTTTGAATGCTGTCGTTAGACATCCCATTGCCTTTTGAATGTATTTGGCAGAGTGTGGCTACTCTGCACTCTAGTAGTTCTGAAGCTTGTATGGGAAATAAAGTTATTGGGTTTAGGAGTAGAACAAGCTTACTTTCTTCTGTTTGCATCCATCAGAATGTTTGGCACAAATAAATGACTCCCTCTAGTAATGCAAGGGTATGTGCACTTTGTTATTCATTTCAGAAACTACTTGGAAGGGTTAACTGAATTCCTGATTTATCAGTTTTCCCACTGCCATGCCTTGTTTGGTTGGTGGCTTGTCTGGATAATAATAATAATAATAATAATAATAATAATAATAATAATAATAATAATAAACAACTCACAGAGCAAGCCTAATTCTGGTTTAGAATAATAGAATTCTGTGACCCCTAGGGACTCCTAGGGTTGTCTGGTCCAACCCTTTGCAATGCAGGAATCTCAATTAAAGCATCCATGAAAGTGGACCATCCAATCTCCGTTTAAAAACCTCCAAGGAAGGAGAGTCCACAGCCTCCTAAGGGAGTGTACTGTTTAGCACATATATGTAAGAAAATGTATTCAGAATATTGTTGCTAAATAAATACTAAAATAACAGATTTTGCACAAATATATTTTTTATGAAGATCAACATAGAAAGGAGAAATAATGTACTTATGAATGAACACATTTGAAAGTAACATAGCCCCAAAATGAACTGACCATCCCTACTGTTAAGGTTGTGGTCTCTGCCTTACATGCATTAGCAAATATCCCTAGTAATAATCTGTTGGATATCGAATAGAAAAGGGGGCAGAAGTGGGTGGGAGATGAAATATGTAAAAGGAAACACAAACCTCTTAGAATAGCTCAATGTAATGTCTTTTTACATCTTCTCTGCAATGGGATATGGTCACTATTTTGAGCACTGATATGGCTGGCTCCACTGAGTACAAAAATAAAAACACAGGATAAAAAACAAAACGATTTATATTCTATCAAGGGACAGGAGGAAAATGCAACCATATTTGGGAAGAAATTAACATTATTTCCGGCTTGTTATGCTTTCCCATCAATGAGCCATTGCAGACAGGAAGTGGCAATGACTCAAGTAACTAAAGGTGCTACTTAGTTATTTTCAGTGCATGGAAAGTCATTCTAGACTGGTGGCAGCTGAGAAAGTAGCACTGGCAAACTTGTCCAATCCAGGGTTTATCTCCTCTCTGAATGCATGCCAAGTATCTAGGGCCCCAGGTGCACTATACAGTGATACCTCTAGTTACAACGTAATTCATTCTGGAGGTCCGTTCTTAGCCTGAAACTGTTCTTAACTAGAGGAGTGATTTCGCTAATGGGGCCTCTTGCTGCCACTGCACCACCAGCACACGATAGCGGAGTTTGTAACCTGAAGTGTTTGTAACCTGAGGTTTTTGTAACTCGAGATACCACTGTACAATACACTTACAGTGGTACCTCAGGTTAAGAACTTAATTCGTTCTGGAGATCCATTCTTAACCTGAAACTGTTCTTAACCTGAAGCACCACTTTAGCTAATGGGGCCTCCCGCTGCACCACCGGAGCACGATTTCTGATCTCATCCTGAAGCAAAGTTCTTAACCCGAGGTACTATTTCTGGCTTAGCGGAGTCTGTAACCTGAGGCGTCTGTAACCCGAGGTACCACTGCAATGCAATTTCATACCACAGTTTCATAAAGGGTCCTGGGCACTGTAGTTTGTTTGTTAAGGGTGCTGAGAGTTGTTAGGAGACCCAATTACCATTCCCAGAGTGGTTTAGCAGTCAATCCCTCTCCCCATGAAACTCTAGTTCCCATGATTCTTTGAGGGAAGCCATGGCTATTTAAAGTGGTGTGATACTGCTTTGCATGTTTAGAGCAGATGGGACCTAAGTGAATAGCCCTTAGACCTCTGCCACCCCTTTCCCACTGTAAAGAGAAAGCACTTTCCACACAAAACATGAGAGGCTCTTTGCACAGCTTTTAGCCCATGTGGTAATGTTGTTAATGCAGGATATATGCAGAAGAATAATCAAATGTACCTTGTATCCCATCCAGGTTTTACATTCTCCTTACAGATAATTTATTTAAACCAAATCCCTAAGGCCCCTTTTAGAGTTTCTACATTTCTTGACACTGTAATACAAATGCAAATCCTATACTTGAATGTACAATGGATTTAAAAATGCTCTCTCTCCTACTATCCCCCATGAATAATATTCATAACTGATGAAGTCTGACTAAAAGGCAATCTTAGGGCCAAACGGCACATTATATTACTCACCTTTACAAACACATGCTTACATTTGCCACTCTTATTCTGGGGGAAATAACCTGATCCAGAATATATTCCCAATCTGTATTTGGGGCCCTGTGTTGGTTTCGCACTAAACAACATCTCTCCCATCTTCTATTTGCCCCTTTTTTATTTATCTATCCAAAAAAGCTGTATACTGCAATGTTGTAAAATTATTAAAACAGCAAGTAACAATTACATACATACAATCAAAACTACATAAAACAAATAGCCCCTCCAGGGGTAAATAAATAGAAATGGGAAATGATATTTGGTGGGGAATCAACACAGGGCCCAAACCAGATTGGGAGCACATTCTGGATTAGAGCCCAGAGTGGCTCCTTATCCTTCATGTTAAACATGTGTCAGGGAAGTGACATCGGAGCAGAGGGGAGAGGAGGTACTTCCCGATTCTGCAGGAGAAGGAACGAGTAAGGGTAGAGAGAGAACGTCATCTGGGGAAGAATGTCCAGGTGACACCAGGAAGAAGGAAGAGGGGGAAAGCATCTTGGAGGAGAGGCTCCGAGACTCTGGCACTGAAGGCAGTGAAGAGAGTGGAGGGCCACCCCTGGGCACGCCCACTCTGCGCAGAAGGGTTTCACGCAGAGAGGGGAGGCGGAGATTATCTGTCAAGGAGCTTCTATGCTGGAGGAAATTTAGAAAACGCCCACTCACGGATTTGTCGAGCGACTGAGCAGCAGCAGCACCCAAGCTGCTCAGTCAGGGAAGACACACCCCAATCCTAAGCAGTTTGGAACCGCTAGAAGGTTACACACAAGCAACCCCAATTCCCGTGACAGCATGCTTTTCAAAAAGTGTGAAAAAATTAACATGCAACTACCAAAACTGTGTTCAAGCAGCTTAATTATTCCTTTGCACCCTTTCAATGTATGTTTTGCAAGTCAAATAGGAGTTCTCATATGTCTTGGCAGCTGTGAATATTTTACAGAATACTGTTAACTTTCTATACTTATTGGAAAACATTTGGCCTTCTTGTGCAACTAACAAGAGTGGCTGATGCTGAAGTGAAATGTCTATTCAGAGGTCCTACAGAATTCAACAGTGCTTACTTATTTCCAGGGAAAGGGGCTTAGAACTGCAGCCTTAATCACTAATTGTTCACTAATTTTCTTAGCTTACCCCTTGTTTATCAGTCTCCTCCCTGTATGAAATACATGCCCCTCTCTTCTCCTTGTTTCCTTCAACATGGCCAAATTTACTTGACAAACTTCTTGGGAAAGGAGTACTGTACATCTTCTTTGTTTATCATTCAGTTATTTTTATCAAAACACTGATATCCCAACTTTTCATCAGATGACTGTTTTGACCTATAAAGTCTTAAATGGCTCAGGACCGCTGTACCTCAAGGACCGCCTCTTTCCATATGAACCTACTGGACCCTGAGATTATCTTCTGAGGTCCATCTTCTTGTGCCTCCTCCTCGAGAGGTCCGGAGTGTGGCAACACGAGAATGGGCCTTCTCTGCAGTGGCTCCCCATTTGTGGAATGCTCTCCCCAGAGAAGTTCACCTGGCACCTTCATCACACACCTTTAGGCGCCAGGCAAAAACGTTCCTTTTTAACCAGGCCTTTGGTTGATCTGTTTGACATCCTATACCCTTTTAAAATGTGGCTCTTTTCTGGGAGGGCATTATTGAGTTGTTGTTTTTATTCTGATTATATATGTTGTGATATTTTCTGTGAACTGCCCTGAGACCTCTGGGTATATAGGGTGGTATATAAACTCTAATAATAATAATAATGCTGTGGATTAAACAGTAATATAATTATATTAGGTGATCGATTGGCATCCATCCGTCTCATGAGATAATGGAGGAGTGCACCTTTGGGGGTGAAGTCAACTGTTTGTAGGTTACAGCACCTGCTGTGGCTATAGAGACTGATACGGGAGAAACATGTTTTGCTGAAGACATCCAGTTGTGCTGCTGCAGATGCACCATGAAATTCCTTTCTCTGCTGTTGAATGGACCACACAACAGGTTTGTATGGGAGGCTTTGTAAATGTGTTCAGTGACAATCCACATGGCATTCTGGGAGACGAGTGGAGGAAAAGCTGCATTGTCTTCATAACAAC